CTCTTTAGATATATCATCACGCCGAACCGCTTGGCTACCGACTGACCATATGGAATATATAACTTTAAAGAGAGGTTTTTCAAGCGGCTGTAGTCACTGGATGTGTTTACAGCCGCTTTCTATAATGAAAGGAAAAATAACTTTATTATAATTGATCACAAGTTACGTACAGCTTATTTCCAATAAACTACAATGATTCATACACGAAATATTCATATGGAATATATAACTTTAAAGAGAGCTTTTTCAAGCGGCTGTAGTCACTGGATGTGATTACAGCCGCTTTTTATAAGGAAAGGAAAAATAATTTAATTATAATTGACCACAAGTTACGTACAGTTCTTTTCCAATAAACTACAATGATTCATACAAGAAATATTCATATGAAATATATAACTTTATTTACAATGAACAGAAAGGTACACACTCTCAATTAAACGGTTTTATTTAGCTTGCCCTGTCATTCATTATGTCATGTCATAAAAATTTCCGAATTCATAAAACGATAAGATCATTTATGCTATATTTAACGCCCCATTTACCAATCAATTAGTACGGCATGACAAAATATATGTTAGGAGCAACCGCCCTATATATCGATAGTCCAGTTATGCGTAATGAGGATGATTCATGGAAGCAGCTGTTTATCGGGAGATATTCATTATTGAGTAGATTAGAAAGTTTAGTTGTGAATGATAGAAATTGGCCATCTTATAATTGGGAGAATTGGAAAATCAAATTATTAGAGACTTTCCATTCAAAAAGGGATATGCATACACTTTTCATAGAAGTAGCAAATCATAAACCGACACACGGATGTTCCTTATATGAATTTTTCTTTCAACATTCAGCTAGAATTGATAGCCTGAAGCTGAATTTTTCAGATGAGGATAAAATTTCGTTAGTTTTGGGAGCAATCGGAGATAAAAATATTATTTCAGCGGCCGAGGCAGCAAATATCAGAGATTTGAATAACTTGGGCTCTTATTTACGTAATAAAATTTTATCAACAGAGAAGATGGAAAATTTCCGTAAAAACAACTATAAACTTGAGAAGTCAGGCTGACCGATACATTGATGATGACAATGAATCTATAGATGTCACTAATTGCGAAACCAAGCCGAAAATACATTGAAAAGAAATGAAGAGAGACAAAAAGAAGTATTCGATAGAAAAAGAAGACCAGCTCACACTTTTGAAATCGGAGACTTGGTCTCAGTTATAATTTCAAGTTTACCTGCTAATAATAACCAAAGCAAGAAGTTGTTGGAAAAATATAAAAGTCCTTTTAGAATTGTCAAAGTTCTTCCTCATGATCGTTACGAGGTGAAAGAGGATATCCATGCAACCAGGACCAGCAAAGGAGCTTCCTATGTAGGAGTATTTCCAGGACATCGGTTACGGAGGCACATCTTCACCGACAGCAGGATGTTGCATATCTTAATGAGGATCTAGAAGTGATTTCGAATTGGGGTGAAAGTAACCAGGTTCAATTCATAGCCACAAAAGCCCAGGCATCGGTTTTCTCTAAGAAGATAAATGTCTCCAAATCAGAAATGATAATGTCAGGTCAGATAATTCCGCTTTCTGCTTCGATAAGTTTGTTGGGGGTTAAAATGGACACCATGTCTTAGTACAATCATTTCGCTGGAATTGCAAAGGCTGCTTCTCAACTTTTGATGATTCATAAAGCTCAGATTAGACAATCTTTGGAGTAATGTTCTCATGTATGGAGCTCTGCCCCCAAACATACCCTGAAGTTGTTGGATTCCATCCAGATAATAGCCATCCGCCTGATTGGAGACGCGAACATCACGTGCAACCTGGATAGCCTGGAACATCGGAGAGAGGTTGGAGATTTGTCTCTCTCCTATAGATACTTTCACGGGTAATATTCAAGTGACTTGGATTCCACCAAGAGCGGTACATATCAGAAATACGCGACAGATTGTGGCTGCTCATCGTTTTGAGGTTCAACTCAGTACACCTCGAATTTCACTGTTTGATAACTCTTTCATCTGGATAACTGCCTTTATGTGAAACAAATTTCCAGAGAACGTTTTTTCAAATGGAGTTGATCTCTGGCAATTCACATCCAATGTGAATGCTACTTCCGCACAGGCACTGCTCTTAGAGCGCCTTAAGGATCCTACAGTGCTTGTGTTTTGTCCTTAAAAACATATACCTGATTTTACAATTTCAAGTACCTGATTCTTACCTAAGTTTGTATTACAAACTTTGGTAAAAATCAAGTATTTGAAATTTAGGTAATTTAGGTATATTAAGTATTGAATATGTAGAATATTGTTGGTAAAGACACGCTCGAAGAAGCCATTGTATGGCGAAACACGTGTTGCGTTTTTGTAAAATGTTTTAGTGAAAATATCACAATAAAGTTTTTTTTTAATATGTTAGTTATGGATTTTCATCAACTATCGGCCAATTTCATCATATATGTGAATCATTAAATTCTATAATCATCTCTTGATAATAACTTCCATTATATTGTTGTTGTAGCAGGAGATATTAATGTGTTAGTGGTAGTAATGATTTCAGCTCGTGATAATGAAGAAATGTGTTTTTAATCTAGTCAAAATCTACAAAAACCATAATGATGTAATATTCTCCAGTAATACCAACAAAATTCTTTGTTTAAAAAATGAATCGATTTGAAAATCATACTATATGCAAAATATGTGTGAAATTGTCTAATGTAATATCAATCATCGTACTTATTTACTAGCATTGATAAAGGATTGTGGCTCCAACTTGAAGGAAGAAAATTTGTTCGGAATTGTCTAGGAATATTTGCATCTAAACTACGCAAAATTGAAAGTATTGAATGGGAAAAAGATAAACAAATTAGTCTCTAAATATTTATCTAAATATATTTTTTTTGTAAGACAGACGCTTGATTGAAAACATTTAAAGTCCTGCATTTTCGCCATTAAGAAGAGAGGAGGTGTCCGAGGAATATAGAGAACATCTTAGCTTTGTTTGTCAAAATAAAGTAAATTATAGGTGTGGAATTTTTGAAGGAATTCAAACGACTCCCCAAAAATGTTGCATGGACTTGCGGATGTGCGCTCTATGAATCTAATTTATAATATTGTAATATTATCGACTACTTATATTAATAATAGTCGTTCACTTGTGCTCATAAAACTTAAGAAATCTAATAACTTATGAAATTGTGAGGAAGTAACGGTCTGATACTGTTATTAATAATGACCTAATTGTCGAGATTATTACTAGTGACACTGTTTATTATTGCAAAACCGTCATCGTTCAAACGATTGTGATTATGAACCTACAATTCAATTATAATATCCATACGACGATATTTTTCAATGTTGAATTTATTTCACCTTCTTACGAGAGCTTCCGTTTTTTGATCGTTTCTTCAAATTAGTCGAAATTGGCTAAGAGAATTATGGAACGATCATTTTGTCACGAACTGAACGCCCTCGAAATTCTTCAGTATTTGAGAACAGCCATGAAGTAATTGGGAGGGTAATTTACTTTTTTAGATACTGTTGTGATTGTGAAAGAAAAAATTGTGTTTTTGCCGACTCAAAATTATAAATTTTTCACTTTCCGAAAACTATGACGGATCCATGGTATGAAATAAGCAAATTTCTTTTCTAAAAATTTTCAAATTTATATCCTGCATCCATTCGGTAAATTTTTCGAATCTTTTGTCGAATATTTATTCTATTGTTTTGCCTCTTTTCAGCTTATTACTATATTATAGCAATTTTCGGCCAATTTTTCTCTACGAATTCGATTGAACCAAAGCGCTGTCGAAACAGAATAACAAATTAACCAGGCATTTGGTAAAGATAGTTTTAATAAACGTAGTGTTCGACGTTGGTTTGCGAAATTTCGTTATGGTGATTTTACTTTTGAAGATGAGCCCTAAAGTGGTCGGCCTACAGTACTCCAGGAAGAGGATATGAGATCCTTACTGTTCCTGAGTAGAGAGGACTGGATCCTCCGGCAGAAGGAAATATTGAGAGCAGATAGTTGTTGGTTCACAGATGGATTAAAAACACCTTCCGGTTCTGGTGCAGGTGTTGTCAGTCGCATACCCAGGACAGAGATATATCAACCTGCCTACGAACCTCTGCGACTGTATTTCAAGCGGAAATATACACCATATAAACTAATCGGCTTCCACTGCAATAAACCCTTGCAGTGGAGGGTCGAATAGACCCACTCACTTTGGACCTAACCTAACCTATGAGGACCCTAGAGGAGACTGACTCATCACAAACGGTGCGTGGTATGGCGGAAGAACTGGGCGTCAGCTTCCATGGTGGAAATGTTGGTGGCAGATTATTTGATCGATCGAAAGAAATTGTCAGGTTTTAGGGTCTGTTCTTCTTTGAATTTGCGCAACCAAAACGATCATTTTTTTAATCAGATCGCCACTTGTAATGAAAAGTGGATCCTCTACGACAACAGGAGACACATCAAAATAATACCATGGTTACTATATAGTGGTCAGCTTCTAGTGTGATCCACTATAAATTTCTGCAACTGGATCAAACCTTCACAGTAGGAAATCGACAAAATATCAACTCTGGTCAACAGAAGAGGTCCGATTCTGCTCCACGACAAAGCCCATCATACTCCCCGGACTGGTGCCAACCGACTACCATTTTTTCAAGCATTTCGGTAGAACCTTCGCCAATCAGTACAAGGCAAAAATGGCCTACGTCGACTTTATCGAATTTCGAGCATCCAATTTTCAAGCTGATTGAATAAATCGACAAGTTGACAAACGTGTACTGATTTAAATTTATTTCGATTGAAGTGAATATGTATTCACTGAGATATAATAGTTTAAAGTAAAAAAGGAGACTATGTCGTGCTAACTATGCACTGGAAACATTAAAAACTTCTTCCTCAAAAATTTTTCCATTGAAATTTGAAATTTCCATGAAATTTTCATTTGATCTACACTACAATAATCTAAAGTTCAAAGTGTACTTACCAAGTTTGTGAGTATCGACATGAAATGTACTCTTTATTTCCTCCAAACTCATGTGTTTGTGTATCTGGAACAAAATGAAACCAGTGTCAATGGATTAACAACAGTTGGGGATGGATGAATATCATATGAAAGTAATAATGAAAAAAAAGTTTTATTGAGATACTTTTTAGGAAAAACATTTTTGGCTTAGTGCACCTCCATTAAGATATAAAGAATACGAAACTTCCAAAAGAAGGAAAACATGTGAACAAATTCTTCCTAAAAAAATGACCACAGAGTTAAAAAGAATTATTTTGTCTGTCTAAGGTACACATTTAGACAAACATTTGTAATATGAATTTTCAGTTCGGCATAAGCAACACTTTGTATATGGTTGGGATTAAAATTTATAAAATCGCATATTTGATTTCTCAAAATGAAATTATGGAAGACCATGAGCCCGTTTATTCATTAATAAGGGTTAGTAGTTTACTTTGGATGTTTGTTGGGACCCTGCTATAGGTTTATACCTCTTCAGGGTTAAAAAAGAGGGTTTGTTTTCCGTAACTTAAGTTCAGTTTGAAATAAGAAGCATTCATTTTTTTGTCATTTCAGATAGATTTTCTCATTGGGCAAATATTTTATAATTTCTTCTTCTTTCGTTTGGATACTGCTTTTTTATAAAATTTTAAATTTTTCATTTTCCCAATATTCTAATTAAATTATTTCCTGAGTATCCAAGTAACCGCCAACTCAATGTTAGTGGTGAAGATTGTTAAGAGAAATATAAAATACTTCATTTACAATGATGAGCGTATGACAAAGTTCTTATTTAGCTACAATACAAAATTTAATGTTTTCATGACATATTTCAGAACAGATTCTAACCAAGTATACTGAAACCATTCATATTTTATCCACTTCATTTTTCGATGCATCTGCAAATGTCGTGTAGTTGTGAGAAACCTGAGAACCTGTCCTGAAAACCTTTAGTTTCGAGCGGGAAGTTTCCGTTTGGAAGCCCTGTATATAAAATTTCAATCGTAACCAATTTTACTGAATATAAATTGTGAATTGAAAGATATAAGTATTGAAAATAGTTATACGAAACATGAACCGTTTTTCAGAAACGTTGGTGAAAAATAAGTTGTTTCTTTCAATGTTGTCATAAATCATAATATATTAGGTCGAGGAATTTATGGATGGCAAATAAAAATCTTTCCAATATACCGAACAATTATTCAAGCATCACTTGGTGTTAAGCAACTACAATGCAATGAACATAACGACTCACCTTATTTGCGTGTATTACATCTTTTTATCAAATCGAATGAGGTGCTGGTACCTGTGGAAAAATCGCCGATCACAATTTATCCTAATAGCTTCCTCAATTAGTCAACAGCCGGAATCGTGACGACTATATGGAAATTTCAGTATATAATATTGAAACGTAACTTGAATAATTACACTGTAGAAGTTGCATGTCTTCTGAGGAATACTTTGATTTATAATCCTACTGAATTGTTTAACTGGATAAAACTTATTCACTTTCGAATGAATCGTGACGTTTCCTATTACGAGATATATTATCACGATAATGCAACACTTCAACACGCAGTGAAAATATTTGGAACAAGCGAACAAAACATTGAGAAAATATATGAAGAGAACGGATTACAGAGTTAATCAGTGGTATCAAGGACCGTCTGGAAGCAAGACTAAACATATTTTCATTGATTTTCTTTGACACGAATATTATGGTGAATTGTAGGTGTTTTATCGTATGGAAATATATGGAGGTCATTTTCAACACTTCATCTGTTGATTGTGTTGCCATTGATATTACTTTTGTTGATTTTATCAATAAAATGAGCGACAGCGAATTTTCTTAAATAAAACGTTCAACGTTCAATGTCTCAATAACGAATTAATAAATTTCGTGAAAAATCACAAGAGTAATAGAGGGACGAAAGGCATTTCAAATGATGTATCATTTGACCTCCCATGCAGTTGAAAAAAATAGGGAGGATAGTTGCTGACCGCAGGAGGGTGAAGTTTCGGGTATGATTTCCATATCAGAATTAGTCCCCCTAGAAATAAACATTGACGTGTTTTTGAAATTTTCGATTATACGTCCGCTTCTGACTTACAGGGATCAAGTTTTCGTTGGAACGCCCTGTATATTGTTCCTTCACCTAAAGTTGAAGGCTTTCCAGTGAAATAACGCCATTTTTCTATAGAAACAATCCGATCCTTGTTTCGAATGATCTGTTCTTTTTTGACAGCCCAAGGAATGATAGATGATGTGGAATATACAACATTTTTTACATAAACTGATAAAAAGAAATATATGCTGGTTAAATTTGATGATCTTGCTGGCCAGTTATGAATACTACCGATACTAATGTTTCTATTGGAAAACTTTTTATTAGAGTATCTCTTTATTTTTGATCGAAAATGGGTATAAACAAACACCTCCCAATTGTAACACAAGCTGTAAACGATAGGGATAATATTTGTGTTTTCGCAATACACTGACGCTACACTAAAATTCGTGTGGAGCTAACGTGTGGATTCTCTGCTACAAGTCCCAAGACTATTCATTGTCTTCAGTTATATCTTCGGATAATTCACGAAACCAGATTCACGAAATATTTACAAAAATCTTTCGAAAACCTCCCTATTCAGATGCTCTCGACGTGTCTGAGCGAATCGATGAATAAAGACTTACTATTTATTATCGAATTTCAGTTATTGGACTGACGAAAAAATTATTGGATTCACAAAAAAAGATCACCTTATTGACAATACACGATAAGCAAAAGGGTACCTTTGTTCAATCGTCGCAAAGATGTGCCTCCGTAGCCGGAATCCGAATGAACTGACGAGAAAAGTGTGTCGTCGTCAGCAAAGCAACATATTAGATTCTTGGTTTTTTCAGTAAGTCCTGGATATACAATAAAAAGAGGGTGGGAGACAATATGGATCCCTGGGGAACACCGGCGTAGATGGTGAAAGTGTTCGAGATAATCCATCAACGGCCACTTGAAGGTAACGTTCTTTCAGTCAGCTGAAGAGCCATACACAAAAATTATCCAACGAGCCATAGCTACGATGTTTGGCCAGCAAACCCTTATGCCACACACGGTCAAAGGCCTGAGAAATATAAAGCACAACAGCTCTTGATTCTCCATGTTGCGTTATTCCAAATATGGGTAACATACGATAGAAGGTCGTTTGTTGATCTTTGTTTCCGAAAGCCATATTGATGATCGCTCAAGATGTTGAAGCCTTCCCAATATTCGAGGACATGGTGGTTAGCGACTTTCTCCATGATTTTTGATATCACTGATAGCAAAGCGACTCGTCTATAATCATTTGGAAGATTTTTCATGCCTTTTTTGGGAATAGGCTGAATGCGAGTAATCTTCCAACAAGAAGGGAAAAACGATTTTTTGTAAGACATGTTGAAAAGTCTGCAAAATATGGAATGGGACGCAAATAGCTCAGCTAGTAAGTTTGCTTATTCTATGGCTGTTGTTGCAATTGAACCATCCGCTTGTGTTAGTGGTGGAATTGTGAATTTTGTAAAGTTCTGATTAACAGCTTTAGCTACCGACCAGAAGGATCTAGACCCATTGTGATTGGCAAGCAGTTTATCCCTAATTCTCTGATTGTGAAGTTCTTTGCTTTCATTTAACCTAACTTTGCAGCTGTTGCGAGCATTAACAAACCTAGTTCGATTTTTGGCACTGTGATTACAGGGCTACCGCTTACTCCAGTACACCAAACTTTGTAATTTTATGAGATTTTCTATCACTTGACAACCATCATTTTGGGAAACATGTTACTGATAATGTCAATGTTTCAATTCCACATTATGAAACTTGTCTAATACTCTCCCAGAAACCTGTAATGATGTCCGTACCTGACTTGCAAATATTTCTCATTCATGATCTTAATCTCAATCATTTCGAGTGCCTGGTAGTGTGTTATGGAAGTGTTTTGAACTTTTTTGAACGTATGCATATTACATTACATGAACATCTTTCTTCTTCCATTTCAAACTTGACAAAACATCAGTGATTCGTGAAATCCATCATTTGATTATGTATGAATGTCATGTAATCATAAATATTCAGGGAACGCTTCCATTAGATGTTTCTGAAGAACAGTTATGAATTTCATTTTGAATTTTATCAATACAACAATACTTCAAAATTGTATCGATACATTTCCATTCCTGAAATACTCTCAACTGAATGCATCGAACGTATTCAAGAAACACTTTATTGTGCGATTTTCACTAAACAGTTTTAAAAAAACGCAACACGTGTTTCGCCATACAATGGCTTCTTCGAGCATGTCTTTACTAACTATATTCTACATATTCAATGCTCCTCTTCTACCCTCTTTTTATTGTATATCAATCCAAGGAAAAGATTCAAAAGATCAAAAGCCACAGAAGATTACCAAGCTCATCGAAACAAAACACTTGGTATCAACAATACGATCTCCACGTCGTGAGTTCGAAGAATCTATTGCAGACTCTGAAAACAATAAAAAACTGTATAAGTTCATACGATCTAACCTGAACACCAAAGTAAGCATTCCGCTCCTACGAAAACCTGACGGTTCCTTGTGTTCTAAAGACATCAAATCAGTAGAGATTTTGGCCGATTCTTTCACAAGCTCCTTCACGGTTGAGCCTTGAGATGACCAATTACCAAAAATTATAGCAGAACGACTACGTGATAATCTGACTAATGTGAAGTTTACTTCGGAAAAAATTAAAAATCATTTATTGAACATTGAATCGAATTCATCCCCTGGTTTGGATGGAATGAGCCCCTTTTTTCTCAAAAAGTTTTCCGAAACTCTCTGTTCTCCGTTGTCAACAATCATGTCAGTCTCTTTCGCAAAATCTCACATCCCATAGGCTTGGAAGGAGGCATCTGTCACCGCTATTTTCAAAAAAGGCGATAAACTCGATCCAATTACCTGCAGGTCCATTAGTCTTTTATCCGTACCTTCCAAAGTAATGGAATCCATCATCGTCGAAGATATGTCAGAATTTTTAACAAA